AAAAAAAAAAAAAAAAAAAAAGAAAAGAAAAGAAAATGTAAAAGATATTTAATGGGGAAATACAAAAATAAAGAGGAAAAAATGAAAATTTGGAGAATTCAGATGATTCTTACTAACACAAAAAGAAGTCATTAGAAAATTTAAATTTATTATTCTGGTTTTGTTTACAAAAATTTAAATAGAGTAAGAGAGAAAACATTAAATTTTGAGAAGTATTTTTATAATTTGGTTCTCAAAGTTATTTTAAGTTTATAAGACAATTATACTCTTTTATTAATAGTTTTGAAATGTACCATTACATTATGCACATTAGGTAAGGTCCCCCAAAATATCCTCCCTCCTCCCGCCTCTCCTCTCCCTTCCCCTCTCACTCCTCTTCCCTTCTACTTTTTGGACTATAGTTATGTTTTACCATTTGTATGAATGTGTAGGTGATTATAATTCAACACTATTAAGAAAAGACTATAATTGTCTTACCACAACAAATAAGTATGCAAGGTGATGGATGTTTTAATCAGTTTGATGCAAGCATCTCACATTGTATATCAAAATCAGTACACTGAACCCCAAAAATGCATCAATATACACAGTTATAATTTAATAAAATAAATAAATAAATAAAAATTAAAAGTTATACATACTAAATTTTACTTTTTTACCTATTTTCTCTTCATAAAAATAAGACTGACTTTAAACTGTAACATTAAGCAACTAAGTATCTAAAGAAACATACATAGTAAATGAAGATAACATTAACAAAGGAAGCTCTGTTTTCACTTCATTGGTTCAAAGAGAAGATACAAGGGAGATTAGCAAAGAGGGAATACATTTACATTCCAGGAGGGCACAAAACTATATGCCTCAACAAGAAGTTTATTCAGTATTGTACACGTAAGACATGCCTATTCATGGTCAGGTTTTTCACGCTTTCACTGAACTCCCATTTACTGAATACTTATGTAAAGCACTGCCCTAGGCGTTGAGGTTACAGCAATAAACAAAATGCACAAGATATTTGCCCTCACAGAAAGTGAAATCTATGGGGAGCACAGACTTAAAAAATAAATAAATAAAATACTTAATAAGTCAAGGAAAGAAGGAAAAACAGAAAGCAGAGAAAGAGCAGGAAAGAAAGGCACACTGAGAGGGAGACATTTGAATAAAGGGGTACAGAGCAAGTTGTACAGAGAGCCAAGGAATGCTAGGATGCGAGGAAGAGAAAACAAGTAGAAGGCCTTGAGGCAACCACCTGCCTAACACGTCCACGAAACAGAAAGGCCACTGTGCAAGGCAAAAATAGTAGAGAAGAGTTTAGGGAGGTGTGAAAGGGCCAGATCTTTACAGCTTTTATACATCAAAGTAGGAATTTGGGCTTTTATTCTTTGTAAGGTTTTGAACTGAACAGTAGTATGCTATGATTTACATTTTCAAGAATTATTCTAGCTTCTATACTAAATAAACTGAAGGGAAGCAAAAACTGAAGCAGGGAGTCAACTTGGGACTCTATTATAATAATCCAGGCAAGATAAAAGTGACAGGGTTTGCTTATGGGCCAGCTAAGGATTGTGAGAATAAATAAGTGCCAGAGATGACTCCAAAATTTCTTCCCTGAGTAACTGAAAGAATGAAGTTAATGTCCTGTGAACTGTCCACAGAACTACTGTGAGAGGAGGTGTTTGGAAAGAAATATCAGGAGCTCTGTGAGCGAACAACTGTGAGGGTCCAGTTCAAAGGAGAGATCCTCAGACTTCTTTAAAGAAAAAAATTTACAAAATTAAGGAAGAAATTACAGAGACTTTTACATTATGCATTTATTATTTTGCCCTTTGCCTGGATAGGTTGAATAGTTTAATGGCTATTTCTTCTGAATATGCTGTTATGTAGTATCTGGCTGTTCTTAAAAAATATACTAAATAGGTATATCTAGCAAGGGTAGTTTCAAACAGTAATAGGAAAATATAATTTAGGAAATTATATTATTAAATATAAATTAAAATATCTTTATAACAAATTTTCTTTAGTCTATAAGATTTTATGTCTATGTAAATCTGTAATGTCTATGTTATCAGAAAAATTGCCCCAAATGATGGCTGATTCCGTAAACATTCTATTACACATCTGTGGCAATTTAGATGGAACTAAAGATCCGTTTGGGGGTGTATTAGGTCTTCCATTTCACTTAACTAAATAAAGATTACCAGGTAATATTAACTCAGAGGGCTGCATATTCACTATCAACATAACTTTTCAAGCTGATTTAATATAAGGCTCTGCTTCTCTTCTCATGCTTACGGTTATGCACCCAAAAGCTGGTTACTTTAAACTGAAGTAACACAGAGATTCATTCTAAGGTTGAAGAGCAACTATTTTTTAGAACGCCCTTTTATCCTTTGGCTGTTTTTCTTCTGATCTGAAAGCATTCAACTTTTACATTTTAAGAAGAAAGATAAAAAAGAACAAGGTGGAGGGGAGATAGATGTTATTTAAAATGTATTCTACCATGCAGCCTCTCCAAACCTGCTATGAAGACACAGAAACATAAGAAGAGCTAAATGTTACCAACTTGCTACCTCCCAATGCTCTCATTCCAGAGAGAAGAGCTCACAGAACTAGGGAGGAGGGGAAAGGTAGTGGCTGTTTATGTGCATATGTTGTGTTTTTTATGGTTCAAGGTAGTGGATGAAGGGATGCTAGAGTAGTGACACCAGCAGCAGTAAGTTTGCATTTGGGAAGGTGTCATCCCTATAAGAGAAGTGCTATAGAGCAGTGTTAGGGTAATGGAATGGAAAACCATAGTAAGCAGTGCAGAATGTGCTAGGAGTGTAAATTTACCATGTATTCAATCAGTTCAGAGTACAAAAAACCTAGCAGTGAGTGGGTGAAAGTGAGAATATACCATATATTAGACAAAGGATGAAAGTATCCATAAAAATCTTCTAGGGACTAGAAATAAGACTGGAATCACATAAACCTGCCCTGCAGATATAGATCTGAGAATAGAATTCAATATTCATACACAGGGACAAAGAACAGGGAAAAGGACCAAGGCTTATGAAGAGAAATCTCGATTGTGATAAGATTTACCTTGTATAAAGATGTAAGAAAAATTCAACAGTGGTCTTATAAGAATAAAAATGAGGAGGAGGAAAATAGGACTTTTGCAGGGGAAAAAAGTGTCAGAAATATTTTAATAACTCAAAGGAACAGCATACTCCTAAAAATAATCTAATGCAGGATCCAGAAAAAAATTTTAAGAAAAAGTCAAATATTCTAAATCATTATTAATTATTGAGTAGTTATTACATATCTAAGCTGTTATAATTACATAATATGTATTTATACATATTTAATCTTCACAATAATCTCACAAAATACTCCCTTTTTTGGAACTGAGAATTTTCCCAAGGTCATAAAGCTATTAAAAAATTTAAATATAGCTATTATAAGACAAGAGTAGAAATTTATTTCTTCAGTCACTGAAATAATACCTATGAGCATTTCCTAGGGAGAAGGTACTATTCTAGGTACTTGGGATATACCAGTGTGGAAAAAGAAAAGAATTCTATTCTTTGAGGACTTTATATTCTATCTGGCAAGGTATAAATTATAGTATGAGAAAGTAATGAGTTCAGGGCAGGGGAGGGGGATTAGAATATGATATGGAAGTTGGGAAGTACATGGTTAGGGATGGAAATTAATGAATAAGGCCAAATGTAGGTTGTTTTAGTGACTCTGAGATTTGCTTGTCATTGTATGCTTTCTTATTGCCTCTTTCTTTTCTTACTTTTTGCTAAGTAGCCCATTTAATTGTTATTCTCTGTCTATTGTTTTTAAAAGCATATTTTATTCTATTGGTAATTACCTTTAAATATACATATTCTATGTTTATCAATCTCAAACATGGAATGTAAGCTCCATGAGGCAAGGTCTTATACATGCCTCTTCTATTCTGTCACTAAGCCTAACACAGTAGTGGGAGTATTAAGCATATTTGCTGTTTTGGAGAATACATTATGCTTTGGAGCCTAATACAGACTCTGGATAAAGGAATAAAGATTAGAAAGCAACACAGAAAAAAAGTGGGAACGAATGCTAGAGAGGAGGGAGCCTTTATCACAATCCTAACACCCATTACTAAACCCCTTGAAAAGCCTACCTTCCTCTCTCTACATGTCTATTTTTTTTTTCACCTGAAGAACAGAAGGGAGTGGATTAGAAAGTGGTTCATCACCTTTTTATAAGTCACAGTCCCTTTTCAAAAATAGAAGGCATCAGTCTTCTTCACAAAAGGAACATATACATACATCATGAAAATTAATAATTAGACATTTTATCAGATCATAAAAAGCTTCATTGTATATATAGCTTTTATAATTTTTTAAAAAATAAATTAAATATTTTATAACTTTTAAAGGTAATAATTTACACACATAACAAAAACCTCTCCACAGTTTCAATAAAGAACGTCCAAAACTCCCAAGCTGGAAGCAAATATTTATCTAAAGATGATGTGAAATGTTTTAAAATATGAACATCAAAAAACTTTTATATTCTTACAACATTTACTTCAGATAGGGATGAAGTTGTTTAAGCTTCACTTTTCTTGACAAGCCAATCCTGATTGGTCGACTGCATGTCTTAAGAGGTTGTATTCTTGAAATGCCATGTGAAAAGTGACTACCTAAAAATTAAGACAGAAAAAGTACATAAAGGAATAAAATTATTAGTAATTTCTATACCTAAAAATCTATATATCTAATATTATCAATATTTATTAAATACTTACTGAGTATTTATTATTTATGTGCCAAGCACTGTACTAAGTGCTTTAAATGCATTATGTTATTTAATCCTCTCTCCAGTTTTAAAATGTAGAAACCTAAGCATAGAATAGTTAAATATCTTGCCCAATGAAAAACAGTAACTAAATAAAATCAGCACTCCAGTCAGACAGTCTAATTTAACAACAGCAATAACAAAACTACATAAGTTTTAAAGTCAACTTGAAGTTGTAGCTTTAAACACGTCATTTTTCCGTTATTATACAACTATGCCATATTGTTAATGTCCTGTTTATTTTCTAATAGAGATTACTGTCAATAAGAGAACCTAAATATATTCCATCTTTTACTCATCAGTGGAGGGCTTTTATTTTGAAGTTTTTATTTAACATCACATACATTGTTTCCAAAAAGGTTCAAAACATTTCATGGAGGCAAGTCTATTACTAAATCAGTTAAATAAACAAATAGGAATTGTGTAGAGAGACACAAGAGAGGGGATGTATTGAGAACATTTAGTGATAGAAACATTAATTAAGAGGGGAGGCATCATGATTGACAGGTAAGTAGGTATCAAAACATTTCAGGACAACTGGGATCTCTCTGATTTTTTTTTTTTTAATTACACTAAATAAGTTTGGCACTCACCCCACCTAGGCAAGCTTTAAGTCCATTCTTCTTAAACCCTTATCCCACTATCTCCCAACTTTTCCCTTACGTTATTGATTTTAACAAGCCTCAGGAAGATCATTCAACTTTATGTACTTTGAAAGTGAATCCAAGATGACTGTCCTAACAGTACTAAATAACTAAATAATTCTGGCTGACCTCACATTATTATTTTTCATATTTCACAACAATAAGTCACTTTACTGTTTGAAGGTAGAATCACATTTTTATGGGTTAGATATTTCAAACAAATGTAATTTTCATTTTCCAATTTGTATACATACTTTATTTAAATGTTCCTCACACATCCATTTTATTATGACAATTACAATTATAATGACAACATAGTGTGTGCTCCTTTACTCCCATTATTGTGCATCAAAATATATTCATAAACCAAATTTCTTCCTTTTTTTCTCTATCCTAGAAAAAACAAACCCAATACTTTCCAAGCTAATTCTTGCCACTTTACAAAGGTATACAAATCTTTTTTCTTTCTTGCCATATATTGGAAGAATAAAAATTGTATTGGGCCACACATTAAATACACAAACACTAACAAAAGCTCACAAGCAAAAAAATAAGTAAGTCTGTGCACATTTTTCACTACATCCAACACCACAAATAACAAAATGGTCCTCAAATAATCTGTATGCAGCCTGTGTGCCACTGGTTGGACACCATGTTAGTTCATGGAGTATTGGTTCCATCAACTATTTCCTTTATTCAGAAGAGAAGACTACCTATGAGCTTTTGATTTTCCAAGGGAATCAATAAATTTTTAAGATTATTTTGTCATAAGCTAAAAAAAGAGTTTAAGGTACAGTTCTGAGGTGACAATAAAGGTATCAGAGACAGCCTTCTACAGATGATGAGAAACCAGGAAAGATATTTCACCTACAACATTACCTTTTTTAGATCTAATGTTATTGTATAAGGTCAGAAATTACTGATCAGACTATAACTTTACTTAATTTCCTAATTTTAATCCTTCCCCATCCCAAACCCTTAGTACCACAAGTTGAAAGGATGTTAAACACACTATCTTTTATTCTGATATTGTAGACCTCTTAGGCAAAGGATAAGGTCATCAATTTAATCTTTCCTTGGTTTTATTCATTAATGTAATCAGAAGTATAAATGTGCCATACTCAAAAATCATATTAACATGCCTAAATTATACTAATGCTTTTAAATTTAAAAAGATAATATGTGTATATTAGCAGCCTCATATCAATAAAAGGTATAGAGAGCATTGATAATAAATACATTATGGGTAGTGATATGTCATCAATGGAAATCCAACTTAGATAAATGCCTTTTTTGGTTTTGCTAATTAATGTTGCAAACATTAGATGTGTATGTTAGGCAGATAAAATATTTATCTTTATTACATAGGTATTGCCATATGTAATGCAAACACAGTTGAACCTCCATAGCTAGCCACCTCCTTACATTGACCACCTCCTTAAGGTCCCCTAAATTTCATAGAGCAGACAACATGCATCACATGTATGTATCAGTACGACAGGCCTCATTCCTTATGTTGACCACCTCTATAGGTTGACCAGTTTAGTACAGTCCCTTGGGTGGTCAACTTACAGAGTTCTACTGTATTTGAACACAGTTTTATAGAGTGCGTTCCCAAGAAATATTTTAAATAGCATTTTAATTATCAACCAATTTTTAATTATTGAATTTTATCAAT